AATTTTTGGTATAGTGAAAACTCTTAATCCTTGAAATAGTGCTAATTTTTTTGCACTTAATAGTACGCCATGTCTATCGTATTCTCTCGTTTCATCAGTGCTATATTTTTAAGTACTAAATAAGAAACTTTATTTATGTAGTACTGTTTCATGTATATATATTGCTATTCAGTTGCTTACCACGCTGCATATGTATGATATTTATATGGAAACAATGTCAGCACAGAAGAAAAAATGCCAAAAAAACGTGAAGACAAAGTTTGAGAAAACTCCATATTGTTACGACTTTTCGCTTATTGAATTCGTGAAYGTCACGTATGATGCATCATTTCGGACTTAGTATACAACACGCAACAAATCCTTCACCAAGCTTTTATTGAAATACTGTAGACTAAGTGTTGGCACTCTACCACGCAAATGTACATAAGGAAAAGGGTCCAAAATTCTAGAAATTTTATGTCATTTATCTTACCCTTTTGGCACTCATCTCCATCATATCCTTCTTTACATTGGCAGCGATAGCCTTGCCTTTTGTCAAGAAAAATACATATTCCTCCATTCATACATGGAGTTATCCTACACTTGTTTGGTAAAACCTACAGCAGAAGTAAATTTGTATTTTAATTCGTTTCAGAAACCATTTCTTTTCTTCAGCCTTAATTCGTGGAATGTGAGGAGATGGATTGGAGTAATCCCATTCTGCTATTCTATTTTACATTCTGATTAGTAATTGACCTAAGCCTTGGTTCCGGTGCCTAAAATCCAAATTCTTAGCTTAAAATACAGATATCCCATTCTGCATTTTCAAGTTAATCCTTAGAGATTGTGATGTTCATGTAAAATTTTTCGTGCAAAAGGGGTTGATGAGAAATGGGGCAATTATCTTACCTCGACGCTCAAGTGAACGAATTCCTTGCTTTCCTTCAAATATTTATGAGGCGGACTGGAATACTTATCTGTAGATAGAACCTCACACGCGTAAAGACCGTTTTCTCCAGAAGCGGTTCTAAAGTTCGCCGAATAACACCATGTTTCTCTCATACATTTGAAACAACAGCGCATTTCATTCGGAACTTCAAAGATCTTTCGTCTTACGTTTTTCACGTTGGTTGGCAATTGAAGCACAAGGTCTGGATGCCTTTGGAATAACATCTCTCCATAACTATAATTTTGTATATCAAAAGCCACGCTCATAGCGAAGTTTAGAATAAAAATTAAACATTTCGTGATTCTAATATTCAAGGACTTTTCCATCTTCTTGATAGCTGATAGCTTCAACTTTGCGATTGTTCGAATGAAATCYCGCCAAAAATATAATTATTTTTCATCAAAAATGCTTACATAAGTTTTATTCAAATTTTGACGTAAGCTCCCGAGTAACAACTCTGGCACATGACTTCGCGTTGCCTAGCATCCCAAACCAAATATAGCCTGTGTGATGTAAATGGAGTGCTAGAAATATATGGGTATTTTTAAGCTGTTTCTTAAACGTTTACTTTTTTACTTAAAAAATTGTCTGGAAAAAATATTATCTCCATAAAAACAATGACTACAGGTCAGTTGACATAAAAATATTTGCCGGAGACAAAAACTACGCTACCATTAGTGTTTGCAGAGGCTTTATTGTAATATTGTTGATAACTCTTAGTAAAGTCCAATATCACGCAAAATCATGCCAAACACCATATGATTCCTGTATTGCCAAGGTTATGATTTGTTGGTAAATTTAGCAGGCTCAGTCAACTTTGCGAGGCAAGTGAACTCGATAATATATCACTAGACATCAAAAGGGCATATAGAAGAAGTAATACAATTTTGACACGGTCAAGAAGAGGGGGTGGGGTCATTGATAATAACATCTACCTCAAAGTTATTATAAGGGTTTTTAAGTTTGACGTCAATGGTATGGAAAAACGACTTTCGGGTCCAAAAAGAAAAGCAGTTCCATCGAGATTTTTCTTACTTTTTCTCAATGATAGTCTTTATTGTACAAATTTCTAATTGTTTAGGGTGGAACCTAAATCATTTGAGGACATTTTTCTCTTTATTTCAGCGTTTTTTATGTACAGTTGGACCCGGAACTGATACGTCACAACTTAAAAGCCTCGTAGGTTTAGCACAGTCACAAGGAATAACGGCACAGTACGACCTTAACATAATTTTCTCAGTCACACAAGAGATTACCGTCACGGTGACGGCACAGCACGACCTTACCATAACTTTCTCACACGACCTCATACGTTTTTCACAGTCACAAAAAACTGTCCCATGTTCCATTAAAAGTCTTGAGTTCCTCTACAACTTCTTTTCAACTCGTCGTTTCATAGAATACTTCTACATCACTTGGGCTAAAATCACCGCTCCCAGCAAGTACAGAACAGCGGACTTTTCGGTCACATCCTTGGGGTGGTTGGTATGAGGAGAACTGAGAATAGGAATCACGATTGGTGGTCGCTTGGTTCGATATATGCAGGTCATAGCCACAACCAAATGTAGGCSCATGGGCATTGTTTCCATAAATAGCTTCATGCTTGCAAAGTTCAAGCAGTTCCATTTTTGTAGGCTGATATCCATTCGTGTTGTACAGTGAGTACAGAAATGATATTGATGATGAAGAATATGTTCCATTTCCTTTTAAAAAGAAAATAATTTGTTGCAAAAATTCAGCCGTTGGGCATTTGACATGTTTTCTCAGTTCAGATCACGCATCATTCTCTTWAGGATAAAATTCTTTGTTTGTATCCATAAACAAAGAAATGATACTCTAGGGAAAGATTCAAAAGATTCAAGATGCAAAGCACATTTACTGTCGGAAAACTTCAAACTATGATTTATTGGTATCAACATATAACAAGATATGTATATCRGACATCACTTACCGTGCCATGATACATTGGTATATCCCCCAAACACGTAGCTACCTACACGAACAATAGTCACTGTGGGTCCCTTGCCATCACATTGTGGGTGGAATGTGGTTGTTACATCCCATCCATCTGTTGCAGCGTGCCAGCACTTTACCCACCGACTACTACTTTGATTCTGAAGCACTGGAGCTAAGAAGCCACTTAGAACGTCTAAGTAGCTGGAATTGCCATGGKAACGGAGGATATTGGAAGTTTTCAGCCCCTCTAAAAAGCATGACAAAAGGACATTGAACAAAAACAAATTGTTAGGTAAGTCGTATTAATGTGGGCCAAATTGATATTGCATCTTTGGAGTGAAATTTAAGGCTCAAAATCGATGACGTAAGTCCTTCTAAGTTTAGTTCAGAAATTTATTTTAATCTAAGAAAATATTGCGCACGTGGTTTTTGTGATCATTTATTGACAGGTTTTGGATTTTCTTTTTTGTACTGTGCAAATCCTGAACCCGCCCGTCTTTATACAAATATTGACTTAATAACAGTGAAAGCTCTGGGCTTTTTTTTCATATTGGAGTTTTGAACKTTTTTGTTTGAGGACATTTTTATCTTAATGTAAGTTCATTCTTACCGTTTTCACACTTTTCTCCGTCATATCCTYTTTTACACTGGCATTGATAGTCGTTCATTCTGTTACTAATGGCTTTACAAACCCCACCATTTAGACAAAGWTTCATGCTGCAGGGATCAACTGAAAGCTGTGCACGCAGAGGACGAAAGTAAATAAATTGAATATACCAAAATAACAGCATTTTCACATTTAGCCTTTCTTATCTGATTCAGCCTTTTACCTTTATAAAGTGAATATATCTTTCATTTCTTGTTAGGGCATCTGGAAAATTGTCACCAGTAATTGACATCAGTTCACACTTGTGGATTCTACGGTTTGGTGATGTGACTTCAAAATTAACCGAATGACACCAGTTCTCTCTGACACAAGCAAACGCACAATGGATTTTGTTGGCAACATTTGTAGTCTTTCTCGTAATATTTTTAACGTCTAAAGGCAGGACTAGTCTATACGAAAGAAGACTATTGAACGCCATCTCGCTATCATCATCTGTCCCGTCCATCGCGGTCGCAGTCGTACTATAAACTGAAAGCGATACAAAAAGCAGAGCTCGAATTGTCCGAAGCGTCTTCATGATGGTTTAGCTTTCTTGAAGTGAGGTTTCGTTTCAATTATCCCAGTTTCCGAGTCATGTTTGATTTTCACTCTGAAGCGTGATAATTTGTTCGAAGTCTAGTGACTTCGTATCCGTTGCAATTGACCGYTGACCAATGAAAAAGAGTAGAGTTGGTCAGTGTACTCTGGGCTTGTCATGTTGTTATTGTCATCAAAAGCCAGCTGCTCAATCATGTTCGTTTGGCAAAATGGTTGACAGGAAAAACCCTTTAGAACATTACTCAAGTAKGTGAGCACTTTTTATGAAATTGAGTCAGGTTTCTCGCGTTCACCTGGCGGCAGTGCATCAAACTTAAAACCATATGTAATTAGTAACTTACAATTTCACTTGGAGGGTTCATATCGAGGTACATTGGAAAAAATTGCCCATACATTTGGAATATTTGCTCTTTTCGGTCTTTTTCCTCTCTTTCCAAAGCAAAAGGTTGTTCTTAAAAGTAAAGTTATATAGCACAAGTAAACTGCGTGACACAACATYCTAAATGACCCTGTAAATCTTCTGTTCTTCGCGAACTACTGTAGTTAGTGTGTTTAYGAGGCTACGAATTCTAAGAAACCATAAGAGGCGAATGTATAGGCCAACAGATAGTATGAGCTTATAAAATCAGCAAAAATACGGTTCTAAATTTTAACAAATTCCTATGAATTATATACCAAAATGTTCAGGAAAGACCGGGGTTTTCAAATCCACTTCTGTTTTTGACAGGTTCTATTTTATTTCAAGGAGAGACGATTTTCTAGCTTGACCCCGGTTATGTCATGCATTTTCTCTTGTAAAATACATCCAATAGCGTACATTCAACTCAAAAAGTACGGTGGTTTTTTTCAATGGAATTCAATCTAATCCATATAATACAGTCCGTGAATAGTTGAATTAACTGAATCCACTTCTGTTTTTTGCCTAGATAGTCATTATTTTGAGAAAAGATCCGAAAACCGTGTTTTTGAGACATAATTTGTACGGGCTCACATGAGGGGGCGTGAGCCTGAAATCGTAGCTGACCAAATGTTAACAGATTTTTTCTGATGTTTTCTGATCTCGTGATCTGAGAGATGCGAGGGGGAAATAAGGGGAGAGGTGAGGTTGTGTTTGGCCCTACACAAGATCATGAAGGTATGTTGAATGTTTTAGTGAAATTATACATATATTTGCACCCCCTAAAAGTGTAGACTGAATAATTTTTGCAAAAAGCACATTCCAAAGCAGTCTATTGATATTGTTATATCAAATACGCAAATTTTGAATTTGAAGGGAATTGATTGGCTAAGACTGATGATCACGTGATATCAGGTTTTTGTGGCACCATTATTTCGGTCAGGGGGTTTCAATCGAAAGTACTTCAAGATCACATAGGAAAATAAAGTCAAAGCAAAGTCGACCTATTATTATGAAACAAATGGAATACTATACGAGGAAAGATAGTCTTTTTATGAGAATCTTAAAAGCTCCAAAAAAAAAAAACAAGCAAAAAAACAAGGACTTCGAGTCGAGGAATGAATTCATCAGCTGTTATACAATTAGACGAAGACAACTGACGTAGGTTGGGCCGAATAATACTCGCTAAACAAAGGTAAACAGCTGTTTGCTTCAAGTTTGTAAAGTCATTGTTTAAGCAGAAGGTCTACGTTGACTAGGTTAGCTCTAGACCATTGATTTAGAATATATATAACACGTCAAGAATATTTTTAAACTGAGTTATTTTATTATTTSAAATTCAAATTACGCGGTTGATTCAATCGCCTGATCTATCGTCAATAGAGCGGGAAATACAATATTTGATTTAAAAATTTAATATTTACTTCACATTTTTAAAAGCTATTTTACAGTTGTTCTGGGTACCAGTTTACTGTTGCCATTGATCGATGATTAAGAGCGAAAATACTTAGTTTACAACAACAATTGCAATACATAGAAGCACAGTTAGTATTAAAGGGACCTTTRCTAATTATAACAGAAGTCAGGAAGAGGTGTGATAAAAATTCAACAACTTTTTGTTTTTATTTTTGACATTTATGTTTTTGTTATTTCTTCTATGAAATCTCTCGTTTAATTGTTGTTCTTCATTTACGGTATATAGAACTTTGTAGATTAATAGAMGGGTTAGTAGAACTTACTTCCATTGTGTAATGTGTCTACTTGGGTGACAAGGCAGAAAAACGATAAGCCCGATACTTTCACGATTTTTTTTTTATGTAACTGAGTTTAATACTCCAAATTYTTAAGCCTTTTCATTTGTGTCACTGCTGCTCGAAACTTGTGATGAAATTTTGTCAAATTAGAGTRAATATCAAGATAATTAGTCCTAGATTTATTTTATATAATATATATATATATTTTAATGTTGTTCCTGAACACCCATCTCTTCTTCACCATTTATCACCGGAGAGGCGTATGTTGCCGTCTCTACTGGAGTTTCTAAACCAAGTTGTAATTTAGGGAAGCCAGGYAGAAGTTTAAGGGAGTCAAAAGGATTTTGGACAGCGGGTTTTAGCGGGTTCTTTATTGTTGATCTTGATTCTGGAGCTGTGATAACAGAATTATATCACGGGAACAATAAGCAATTATTATTGGATGAAGTTGAGCAAAWTATYGTGATTTTTTAGAGGCGAGCGAGCAATTATTTGCCGATGCCGAAAGGCAGAGACAAATAGTGAACCATGTTGACAAATGCAACCTTACTTAGCGCGCATGAGCAGGCTATTATTTGCAGCAAAACGGATTTGCACCGTAATGCGCATGAGCAGAATATTATTTTTAGGTAGTTATTTGCAGTTGTCTCGGCCAATCAAAACTATGGATAAAATAATTTCAATAATAATTTGTTTTATTGACGGAAGTCTATTGTCCGAAGCTTCGTTGTCACGTTTGCCGGTTGTCTTGATCAGCGCGTTAGCAATGAAATGAAAACAGTGGTAACTGTAATGCGTCACTTATTATTTGCTGTACTTACCAAAACTAATATCTCCTCTTCTGACAAAGGCAAGTGTAGGGTTTTTGTGTAAAGCTTCAACTGGTGCATCTTTTAGTGTACAGTAATCAGGATTGGTACAGTAGACTGAGTAACACGTATCTGACATCATCATTGCTACGTGACAATTCTTCTGTGTACAGCATCGTTTGATGCATGTCTTCATGTCGTGCACCTTATTTTGTAAGGTGAGTTTTCCTGATAACATACCAGCTTTTAGAACTGCTTTCTTGTGAATCTTTCCGTCCAGTCTGCAGGTGTTTTCACCTGGTTTTGTGATCTTGACATGTTTGCCGTCTGAAACGAAAGCAACTCTAGACATGTTAGAGTTCAGTGCCTCTTGATATTGACCATGTAGCAATCCATGTAGCGGCTCCAAGATGTTGGGGTGGATTGGTTGGTTACCCCACCCCCTTTGGAGTGGGGTATATTGCTGCGTAATATAGATAGATTGGTTGGATAAATAAATAAATAAGTAAAAAAGTGAATTACCTTCTCTCACAGCAACTCCGAATCTCCTCTTCACTATATACTGCATTGTTTTATGGATTTGACTATTCTTGGAAGCTTTGTCTTCACTCATTCCTTCATGAGGTTTACTACTGACAACACGGCATCCTTTCTCGTCATAACAGCTCACCATGAAACAATTCTTGCCAAACATATACGCCACATCACATGTGGAGTCCTCACAGCATAACCKRGTACAAGTATGGACATTACTAACTGGGCCCACATCTGCATAGTGACCTGCACGTGGTCCTGCGAGCAACTGAGAGTCTTTGTAAAGTTTGCTTTGGATGCACTGTAAATGGTGAGGCGAGTGACCGGATGGGACGTTCACTGCAAAGAACGAATGCTTAAACTCAATAGGACGTTTGCATGATGGCGTCATTTGACTCCCACTACCATAATGCTTCGCGAATTTTCTTTCTTATTCAAATTTGTATTTCCCTATGAGAATAGTAAGACAATTGGTGCTAATTAACTGAACAAAAGAAAGTGTGCAAGGGAGTCTGGTAGAGGTCAGTGACGCCATCATGCAAACGTCCTATTAAATCTTGATCTGAGTGAGTAAACTGCAAAGAACAAATGCTGAGTTCATTTTATTTGATCTAAGCGAGTACAGGGGTAACTCACAGACTCATTATTTTACAAAGAGTGAAAAACCTGGAAAAAATCAAAAGGTCAAAGTCATATGTGATGAGAGATGAATTAATTAGCGGTAAACCACCCTGAATCTAATAGGGAAAGCTTTGTATGAATGAAAATCTGACGCTATGAGCGTTGCCGTGTAAAATGGTCATTACATGTTCTGGCGAGAATTTTCACTTGATGAACAAAGACCTCGCGCGCTGTGATTGGTTGATTGAAGATACCACGGTCACGGCACTGCACATTCTTTCCTTGAATTTTTCACATGAAAAATTTTCTCTATCGTCGATAGAGGACGTACCGATTTTTTTGTTCTTTTCAAACAGCCATGGAGCTACGAATGCCATCTTTTGGTTGAAAGAGAAATCTTCGCCTCGAGCAGGAAGAGCCTGGCAGCGATCCTCAGAGAAGCATTTGAGGAGGTAGCAGCGATCCTTCAGCATGAAGGCCAAGTCACACTCGATCTTGGACTCRCAGCAGTAACGCACGCAAGTCATAATACTTTTAACCTGTTAATAGAGGTAATGTCATAKATTATACTTATTCATTTGTCTCACGATTTTGGCAGTTGGGAGGACCGCGTTAGATCATGTTAGATTGTACAGAAAATCAGTGGATCCTTTTAGTTCGCATTTGTAATCACCACTAGCTGAAAAGCACGGGTGCACTGCTTTAATGCCCCGCCGATCATCACTATGGTTGTGCGTTCGATCCCTGGATTCCCATCATATATGCCTGAGTACACTTGTTTGTTCGTACTAATGGCGCAAAATAATGGAAACGGATAGTACCATGGACCTACGTACACTGAAACACATTAATATTATAGACAAAATCGATGTTAACCCTGAGTAACAGATAATTCAAAATTGGCCTGTTTATTATACTAAATTAGGCAAGCCCTCTGTCAGACACTGTACCTTGCCAATATCTGTGAATTTTCCCGCGTGCAGTCCAGCTTTTAACTTGACATTATAAAGTACTTCGTTGTGGGGGCATTTGGCGTCTGGATCAAACCTTGTAGAGTCGTTGCTCTGTGCTGTAACTAAAGATAAAACAACATAAGAATCAGAATTATTACTTGATTCTTAACACTTTTGTTCAATAAGACCACATAGCAACCGTTTAAGTATTATCAGTTTTTTAAATAAATAAAGTTGTGGACTCAGAACCGAAAATTATAGATTGTATGAGATATTATTCTTTATCTATAATTCTTGCTAAATTTTATTTACATTTAAAGGATTTCATGAATTCCGCACGAGTACCGTGCCGTGCCATTTTACAATCAAGAGAAGTCTATTCTAGTTGGTACAGTTGTTCATTACCTAGGTTGTTAATTCCCTTGCTGGTCACGTGAGCAATCTGCATATCTARATCCTGATCATCACTCGGCACAGTCTCACAAGATGTCCCGTTGTGGCAGTGAACCCCAAAACACTTTTTGCCAGTCATCATAGCCACGTCACATTGCTTGGACATGCAGCATTTGTGTATGCATTCCTGCATGTTTTTAACGTAGCCTTGATCCCTGAATATTCCAGAAAGYGTGCCATCTCTTAAGGTTACACCATACTCGATGTCACTTTGACCACATGTGTATTCTTCGAGTATAGTATGACCTGAGAAGGAAAAGAGGTTACACTTAGAAAGAAAGGTGGGAAGAAAGGATAGGAAAGAAAAAAAAGTATCGAAGCAAGGAAGTTATGAATAGGAAAACACGAAAAGGAATGAAGCAAGGACGCAAGGAAACAAGGAAGCAAGGAAGCAAGGAAGCAAGGAAGCAAGGAAGCAAGGAAGCAAGAAAAATTAAAGCTAAGGATAAATTAGAATGACAGGAAAAACGGAAAACGGGAATGGAAGAAACGTTTATTGCATGTCTCATCATAACTTTAGGAGTGAATTCTATTTCCCAGCAGTGTTCACAGCAGAGTCATAAGTGGGCAATAGAATATCCTGACCTTGAAAATTTGCAAACAAATGAGAAACATCCTCTAACACAGTCGCACATAATCGACACATTCCAATTCTATAAAAAATTACACATTCCACTAATTATGACATTGCTCAAGGTATATTGAATTTTGAAATATTTTTTCGAGAATCAATAGATTGTCCATCTAAAAAATATTTGCTGAAGGTCAATTGGTCTTGATCTCTTTGAATAATACCTGTTTAAACTGTAAATCCACTATCAAGTTGTTTATAATAAACTTGAAAGTGCTACTCATACTTTCCATAACAAACAGATATTTCCGAGAAAAAGCTTCTTTTCTTTTCCAAAACTAAAAGCGTTATGGAAAAAATCAATTATATTTTCATTTTAACATAAACTTGTATGTATAGCATCGAAGAAATTGAGCCTACAATCATTGCGACGTAGATTCTGTTCATTTGAATTATGACAACTTTAGCAGTAGAAAATCGAGGCAGAAATCAAGAAATAGCCGTTAATATAGCCGTTAATAATAGCCGTTACCATAAATTTAAATGAGTGAATTTAGCGTGAAAATTGCATTAAAAATTATTTTTTAAAGATTTTAAATCAAGACAATATTTCCAATTACGTACCTGATACGTGAGCKATGGCAGTGATAACGATCAATGTCCATGTGAAGATCCTAGAAATCGACTTGTGATAAATTGACTCCATTTTTAGATACAGCAGATATATACATAAAAACCACAAAGCTATTTACAACTAATATACATTTTTTTGAGCAAAACCGTAAATATCTTTGATATTGGTRTCTGTTAGTCGATCGACGGCTGAGGTTCTGTTGTTAGATGATCTCACTTATTTAATATTCTACCTGTTGTTGCATTCAAATAGACCAATCAGAAGAGGCGAATCTATTTACCTTAGATTTTTTCGTAGACACTTTCTATATTCAGTCAAATCTCGGGCCATTTTTTGCATTTAGATTAGAATTTTCTAGGATAAAAAATTAAATTGTGAAGTACATAGAAATAGTTTTTGAAGTGGGAAATATAGTTAAATAACGGTTCTTATTTCGTTTGAAAGGCTTTATATTTGAGTTTGGCAGGTGGGAAGGGATTGTTCCTGTCTTTGCTCGTATCATAGTAATCAACAAAACACTATCAAATATTCATTCAAAACAAAATGGCGGATTTCAAAAGATCAAATAGATGCTATTCGAATTTGTATGGAACACCGCTGTGAACATGGATTACGGACTYATTTCCAGCTAATCTAAAATAGTGACGTAGAAATGTCATTGCAAAACTGTGGTGTCATAAAGCCTGCAAAATTTGGGTGACGTAAAA